GAGAGCAAGAGAACAGGACTTTGCCCTTGAGTTCAAATGCTGGCACAACCGCTTGTGGCCTGCGTGGGCCCACTGACTTTTCCTTTCCTTTGGGGATCTGTCTATTGAGTGCTTAGCGTGGTGCCCGGGGGGAAAAGAATGTGCTCAGAAGAAGGCAGCAGCGATTAGACTTACTGGAGACCATTTCATGATTGTTACGAAAGAGCTGAACAAATGTTTAGTGAGCATCTACTTCCTGCACTTTGCAAGATCCTGGAGACTCACAGGACAGAGCAGCCCCAACTCTGTGGGGCTTGCCGCCTGGAGGAGATGCAGGGTCATGACCTAAGAGGGGACACACACAGGGCAAGAAGGGGGAACAGCCAGGGGAGCTGCTGGGGCTGGGCTGGCAGGGTGGATGGGTGGGGGCAAGAGTGAAGTGTTTCTGGAAGAAGATTCTTCTGTGCTTGGAAAACCTGGGCAGTTGGATGGGAAGGAGGACACTCCCACTCATCAATGGCCGCTGGGTTCCAAAGCTCTAAGTGTGTTACATTTAAGTATTTCCTCATTTAATCTTCCAGCGGCCTGTCATCGCCCTGTGACCAACTGGACTTGTGCAGGGGGAGGTGTCTGTTGGACATGGAGTAGCGATGCCCAGTGTGCAATTAGGTATTCAAACTCGGTTTTCAGGGACAAATCTGGGATAAGGAAAAGTAACCGAGAGTTGCAGTCCCATGGAGGGAACCCTGGAGGGGGCGTGCAGACAGAGGGGGAGGGGCGGAGGAGCAGGAGGCCCGGGAATGATGCTTTGGTGGCTGTGAAGTTTCACGGCACGCGGGACGGGGCCGCTCTGAGCCACAGCAGGGTGAGGATCTTGCTCTTGCCACCGTGGGACTGTCCTTTATGGCAGGCCCCAGTCCGCCACGGCTGTTCGCTTTGCAGTCTGGCAATACTTAAGTTTGCAGTGAGCTCTTCTGCACGATGGGCCCCGAACCACATGTCGAACAAAAATCCAAGTCTGGACTTTCTGTTTCCCAAGGAGGGGGCCAGCGTGCAGCTCCTGTGAGATGTTCGTGGCGAGTCCCTCTCCATGATGCAGACGGGTGGGGTCGGCAGAACCACAGCCCCCAAAGGTGTCTGGGTCCTTGCCCCTCCCCTGGGGCCCATGAATATTATCTTTCGTGGCAGAGGGGGCTCTGCCGATGTCATTGGATCATGGGTCACGGGGTGGGGAGTGTCCTGGGTCATCCAGATGGGCTCCATGGCATCCTGCGGGTCCTCGTAAGGGGGGATGGGCAGGTCAGGGAGAGACGTGACCACGCTGTGCTGGGGCCTAGAAGATGGGGGAGGGGCTGCATGCACAGGACGAGCTGGCCCTTGGGAGCTCCGGAGGAACACGGCCTGACCACCCCCTGACCTTAGCCGTGGCCTCCAGAAGTGTAAGAGAATTAATTTGCGTTGTTTCAAGCCACGGAATTCGTGGTGCTTTGTTGGAGCAGACACAGGACACTGACGCCCAAGATGTCAGCTCCCCCATCCATGCAGGAGCCTCAGCTTGGATCTGATGGGGTCAGCAGGCTTTGCCCTCCACTCCTCAGCAGCCACAGCACGTGTCTGCCGAAGCCAGGGTGGTCTTTACTAGCTGGGGTTAAAGTTGGCCAGAGGAAAAATCTTCCTTCCTTAGTTCTTAGCTTTAGCGCTGAGCTTTTTCCTGGCACATAGTAAGTGCTCAGTAAACCACAGCTCTCGATGGCAATAATTTGCTCTGCTTTGAAAAACTCAGAGGGGACACTGGGCATCTCTACCAAAAGTGAGAAGTCTGTAATTTCTAAGTGAGGTTTTCCGAGTTCCCCACATTTTAAGCCTGGCATGGGCTATGTGGCATGTTCGAAATTTTCTTCACTAAATTAGCCCTCCTCAGATGGACTCCAATGTCAACAGTCAGGGGGTGAAACAAGGACGCTGGGAATATAGATAGAATGGGTGAGAAAGTCAGCAGGGTCAAGAACAAGGCGGTGCTTCCAAGCCACACACAACCCAACCCGAGCAGTGATTGTCCTTAGGAAATCTTGTAAGCCAGCTGGGAGGGATTTATTTTCATAAATCTGAATCTGTGTGTTGTGAGGGCAGAGTCCCTGTGAGGCCAGATGGCTGTACTTGGCACTGATGAGTTACTTTTGTTTTCTTTTTTATTTCCTACAGCTCTTTATTTGTTCTTTTAAGATATACGTGAGAGAAGAATGTGTTTTGATGTATTCTACATATATGGAGTAAAACTGTTCTACTTAGATCCCATTCTTGTGGTTGAACACGATGTGGAGTCATACTGGTGGTGAACTCCCACATGAACATAAGAAAGTTCTGTCTGATTCATTCTACTGTCTTTCCCCTTTGTCTAATCCAATGAACATCTAACCCCCCCACCCCCCTTTTTGGTTTGGCTTCCCCCCTTCGGGGGGACCTTTCGTTTTTTTTTTTTTTTTGGGATTGGCTTATTTCACTTAGCATGATAGTCCCCAGTTCCATTCTTTTATCGGCAGAAGCCATAATTTCATTCTTTATGGCTGAGTAATACTTCATTGTGTCTATATACCACTTTTTCTTTATCCACTGACCTGTTGAAGGGCACCTAGGCTGGTTCCATAGCTTAGCTATTATGAATTGAACTGCTAGACACATTGAAGAGACTGTGCACTGTAGTATGCTGATTTTAAGTCCTTTGGGTATAGACTGAGGAGTGGGATAACCGGGTCAAATGGTGGTTCCATTCCAAGTTTGTGCTTTCCATAGTGGTTGCACAACTTGCAGTCCCACCAGCAATGTATTGTATGAGTGTGCCTTTCCCCCACACCCTCACCAACACTTATTGTTGTTTGCATTCTTGATAATTGCCATTCTGACACGAGTGAGATGGAATCTGATAAACAAATTCAGCAAAGTAGCAGGATATAAAATTAACACCCATAAACCAATTGAGTTCCTATACAGCAAAGAGGAATCGACTGAAAAAGAAATTAGGAAAACTATCCCATTCACAAGAGCCTGAAAAGCAACCACCACAATAACAACAAACAAAAACAAACTTGGGATTCAACCTAAAAAAACAAGTGAAAGACCTCTACACTGGAGACTCCAGATCACTAAAGAAAGAAACTGGAGAAGACCTTAGAAGATGGAAAGATTCCCATGTGCTTGGACAGGTAGAATCAATATTGTCAAAATGGTCATACCACCAAGAGCACTGTACAGATTTAAAGCAATCCCTATTAAAACCCCAATGACATTCTTCATAGAAACAGAGAAAGCAGTCATGCAACTCACTGGGAAAAACAAGAGGCCCAGAAGAGCCAAAGCAATCCTCAGTGAGAAAAGTGAAGCAGGAGACATCACAGAACCAGACTTAGTTCATCCTGCAGGGTCTAGTGACAGACAGCGCGGATGAGTTCCACTGGACTGTGACATAAAGGGTGACGGGAACCTTCCCTAGCTGCTCCAAACACTCTTCCTCTTCCCCTAATCTGAAAGAGCAACTAAAGCCCAAACCAGGCATGGGATGGATCAGAATCATTTTTGTTAAGAAATCCACACTGAAGAATATAGATGCTGCCGACATACAGGTGTAAGGGAAGCTTTCCGTTTGTTAGATTTTTTTTTTTTTTAAACAGATGTGATCTCTTCCTTTTTAGATACATAAGAAAAAAAAAAGGTGGTCATTTACTTACCAGAATGGAAAAAGAAAACGCTCACAACTTGGGCTGGGTCTTCTCCTGGCGAGGACAGCCTTCGGAGGTGTTCTGTGCTGGGACCTCTGGGGGCATGTGACAGCCTTCAGTGAAACCGTGTCTGCTCCTGTGATGTCACGGGGAGGGGGGTGGCTGAAAAGTGAGTCTTGGCTGGAGAAGGTGGTCCGGCTTTGGAGAGGAAAACTCACTGTCCTTTCGCTTTGCACTTGGGGTGGTGAGAGATTACTCAGCCTCCTCTCCCGGCTTCTTGGGTAACATCCGGGAGGCTGGCTCTGCTGCCCGAGAGGCACACCGCACACAGGTCCTGCAGCCCCGTGTTGGCACCGTGCAAACCTCCACCTCTGCTGCGGGGTGATCTCGCTGTCCCAGTCGGCCCCCCAGTGCCTGGGACTCAGCCTCACTTTGGCAGGAGCTGGCTTGCGCCTCCACTTTTGCATTTTGGTCGTGAAGGGTGCGTGGCCAGGAATCCACCCGCGTGGACCGTGACACACACAGCGGGCGGGGGAGAGGCTGACTCACGGGGGCTCAGGGATGAGTGAGACCTCAGCGCGTCCCCCGTCCTCCTGGGCAGATCTGGAATCTGGTTTTGATCTGTCTGCGTTGGTGAGTTACACTACGCAGGATCCCACATTTCAGAACAGAGGAAA